CACCATCAACGCCGCTTTGATCACAGCAAATATACCACTGGCAGCTTCACTATGACCTATATTCGCTTTAATCTTTAAGAAGATAAATAGTCTCAGTGTCTCCATATACCTCAGAAGATTTGCGGAGAATACTTACTGCACCCAGCCGTAGCGGCTGCTGGCGACTCCGTCTTTCATTCATTCCATTGGAAATGGCTTTGACTTCTATGGGATCGCCAACAGGTGTGCCAGTCCCTAAGAAGTTTCAGCAGCTGCTTGCGTTTCACAATTCATTGCGCATACTTACCATGGCATTCAACATAGGGTGTGTCTGTTGGGTCCAAGCCGGCTCTTTTGTAAGCAGCACGTAGGACCCTTTCTTGGCCTTCAAGACTGGGATGGGTAATTCCTTGGTCTTTAACTTTCCCATTTCTACAACAGTCAGTCGCTTATTCGACGCTTCGGGATCCTGCAATTTCTTACGTATTGAGCGCTGAGCCGCGGATGACTGCTCGAATCGGTTCACCACTGTGAAGTGCATCACTGAGCCTGCGTAGGTAGATGGCGCCTGCTCCTTCGGCACGGCCGTACCCATCTGCTGCAGCATCAAAGGTGTGGCAGGTGGATGTTGGCGATAGGATCCCCAGCTTAGCGGTATCCATGTGCTGATCGACTGAAACAATTAGATTCACGCCTCCTGCGATTGCGCCGTCGCATTCGCCCGTCTGAAGTGCCTGACATGCTTGATGTATAGCAGTCATAGATGAAGAACAGGCGCTATTGATAGCGGCGCTGCATATGATCAGTCGGATTGACTTTATGTGAAACTATACTTTAGTTACCGGCACTCACCTTGGTCCGCGTAGGTCGAACACGTTACAGATCCTCGCACTGAGGAGACCAGGGTCAGACCCTGTGGCTGCATATTCGTGCCGGAAGTCCGGTTCGCGATGAAGCATCTGTAGGTAATCTGAGGTGTAGCAGCCCACAAATGCCCCGATACTCTCCCCAGCAACATCTTCCAATCTCTTACCGGCGTTCTCCAGGCACTCATACGTAACTTCAAGCATACGCCGTTGCTGCGGATCTAGCCACATGGCCTCAATCGGGGTGATGCCGAAGAAGTTGGGATCAAAGTCCTGAGGACTGCCGTCAAGAAAGTAACCTCCACGGACATTGAAACTGCCGGGTCTATTCAGGTTCTCATGGTAGAACGCATCAATTTTGAACCGGCTTTCGGGCACAGTTGGGGTCTGGACCGATTTCCTATTAACGAGTACATCCCAGAGATCGCAAGGGGTCGTAATCGATCCCGGCAAGCGACAGGCTATATGCTGGTTAGTATAGAGAGAAGAGATGAGTGCATATCGGTACCCACCCATGCCGACGATGGCAATCGGCTCAAAGGGGACATGATCCACAGGTGAGCCCTTTGAAGTAGGGTGTCGCGTCATCAAGATTGTAGAGACCTCGTGAAACAAGTATTTAATGACTGATACGAGCTGGGTAATTATATGGGTTTTCGATCTGGGTCTTAGTGAGAGCTTAACACTTTTGGATGCAGGCTCGAGGAACAGGGATGGATGAGGGGACATTTATACCTTAAAGACGAGTCTGGCTCTATTATCCCTCACCAGATGCAGATAATAGAGTTCAGCACACGACTCGTGTTTCCCATCTCTTTGGGTCATCATGCAAGGCGAATCATTCGTTTCTAGGAGTCGCCCACAACATCCACATTCCGCGGCATGCTGTATCAAGTTCACCATTCCTCTTATTCGCAGGTCGGGTTGATCTGAAAGACGTCATGTGTCCAATGAAAATCAACCGGTGATCCTCACTCAGTCCGTCGATGGAAATGGTTTCCTATCTAACGTCCATTGGATGGGAAGTTGCGCAAGGAAACATAACTGGCATGGACCTTCATGATAAAATGGGTGGCTTAGACGTTGATCCCTTGAGAGGTTTCGAATGACACAGAACCACGGTATAGAAGAAACCAACCATGCTCTAAACATCACTGTAGAAGCTAAAGCATTAGGAAACTCGCTTTCGCCACCAAACAAGGTAGTGACGCATCCAATGATCTGACTGGTAGGGGGGTACCTTTTCATTAATGTTTGTTCAAAGTTAGATGGGCTTCTCGATAATGTATCAGGCTCAACAGATGGCGTGGGTAGATGAGGATAATAGCCTTCTGGGACTGTGAGGTTCGTAATATACCTTGCCTGTTGTGATGCACATGGTTCCTTTAGGCAGTTCAGACTCACATGACAGCGACCAACTTGACGCGGTTGCAAATAAGCGGCGTCAGAAAAATACCAATGGTCATAATAATGTTTGAATCACGCTATTGGACGCTGAGATGAAGCATTGTCCCAATTAGGCGACCAGCATGCTATGGCAGATGCAAGGTGATAATCGAAGGAGTGAGTGGGATGAGCAGAAGTAGCGAGTAAATTGACCCTCCCTTCAGCTCTGTCCGCTACTTATATAGTAGCTAGTAAGTAGAATCCTTTCGGCAGTTTTGTGTACTAAGTACTGGAACTGATAGAAAGCTCAAGGCCAGTGAGGGCAATGGAGGTCATGGAAGGAGTGATTGTCCCTGTTGAGACAACAAATGTCAAACTTCACCGCCCCTGTACTCTCATGCAGGACAGCGATCATGCAGCACGATTTTGTTTCTCGAAAACTTAAGATTAGTAATTCACATCACACTTATATGAGGCTGGAAGTATCTGTGGCAATCATCCTCTCTAACTTTTAAAGGGAATCTACAATTACTGAAACCTTTCCAATAGCAAGTGTTTCCAATACATTTCACCCGCTCCCTTCAAGGATGCTGACTATCTACTTGACAGCATACGGATAGTCCACAGACCTCGAGGCAGGTCACCGCACGCACATGACAATCTGCATAAACTTTAATCGCCAGCTATGGATGCAGAACACATATAGCCATTCCCCAAAATGAACCTGCTATGTACTAATACTATTCATCTGATGTTGCCACGTATGAACACTAAACACAGGTTTACACCTCACTTAGCGGATGCAGACAGCCATGCCCATCCACGTGGGAAGGATGCTTCGTTATGGATGCAAGCCACACACTGGTATGCCGGTATACATGGGATATCCAGGCCCATGATCATAGTGACATGATCATAATTATAATTCAGACATTCGAGAAGTGTACGTATACTCTCACTGACGCTTGAAACCACTGACGTTTGAAACGTGGCATGTCTGTGCTTATTGCATGGAGTCTTTCAGCATTTGTATACTTCTCTGGTCAGTGGTATCCCTTGCAACTTGGGCATTCTTGACGGAAAGTATAATTTGAACTCAGTTACTACCTACAATACATCCGTGCTCTACAATCTGTGCCTTACGCCGTTTATGCACAAATCCCCTTGAGTATCTACAGGCTGCCTCCCACCATACATGCCCAGATCTCCTGATTGAACCCAACCTCTGCCTCCTAAGGGATGTGGCCTTTTCGTTCTATGGCAGTTCTTAGTACCTGAACACATGGCGATTCAAAGTTAGGCTCTGATGATCACCTTCAACGAAACGAGATAGATATATTGACGAGAAGATCTATCAGGACAGTTACCTCCCACTCTTTTACTAGCCCCTTGAAACACACACTGAGATAAATCATCTGTGACAGTCATCTGACCGCGGGTCTCATTCATTCCTATCTAGTATATAGTAACTTCCTTTCGAGGGCCACTCCTCTCTTCCCTTTCTTCTCAAAAATGTAACCATCATCAACAAAATTATTTCATATGGCTGCTACAACATCCCTGCCACTACCCTAACAGCGCAGAGAACTTATGAGAAGACCACCAAAATACAGGACTCAAAACAGGAAGCTGTCCATCGTAATAACCCAAACCATCTCTAGACTGAAGTAGTAGCTGAGTGAACCAGACATAGTGATGAAGCCCTATATAATTCTACTAAATCTGTACCTCGTCCTAACCAACATGTAATGACACATACATTAAAACTACACCCCTCAATCTCACAAGTTGACGTAGTAATAGTAGTGATAATCACCATCAAACTAACACCAAATACCCTATATCATGAATTAAACCCCACAACAACCTCCCCCCCAACCAGCCCCATCCAACATCCAATGAATAAAAAGGTACACAACTCAACAGGGCCAGCCACCTTTGATTCCAAGCATTGGTGCTAGCACGCACCAATACAAGTGACAACGTCCACTCAAAAGAACTCACCACTACCAGACCAAACCAGACTAGAGTAAGTAACATCTCCCGACCTGCACTACATTTTCCCGGACTCGGTAGATGTCCAGCAACCCCAGCCCGAGACGAGCAACCCTGACCACGACTCCGACCCCGAGCCGAAGTTGCATCAAATCATCCACTGCCATTGCCATTGCATGACAGAATTACCCATTCCACTACTAAACTACTAGTATATGCAGCATAGATGTATCAACGGATGAATTACTACACAAAATCGTATAACATCCCCAATCGAGCCGATACTACTCAAGTGAAGTGACACCCGGGACGTTCCGAGAACAACCCCCCAGCCAAGCCCAAACCCGCCCGCATCGGGAACCGGAACGGGAATGTAAGTATCGATCCATCGCTCGGCTCGAATGCAGCAGCCACCACCACCACCATTTAATTACTATCCAACGCTCGGGGATCTCGTACGCGGGATGGGTGGGTGGATGGATCGGAAGCTTCCGCTGAGATACTCGAGTTATCTCATTGGATGAGGACCCGAGATTACTACCCTCACTTCCTAACTGCTCATTTGAGGGTTTCAGATGGAATTACAGCAGGTAAATTGAGTTTCAAAGTCCGACCGCACGCGGCGACAATGTCGTCACGACTCAGTACCAGAGATTTTCGAGAATGGGATAGAGGTAGAAAGCTTCGGCGACTAAGTTTTTACTTTTACTTTACTACTCGTGACGAAGTTTATTGGAAGTTACTTTGATTTTACTGAGAACGGTTATTGGGTGGGTGGGAAAGAAACCGGCTGCAACATTGCAGGGTTGTAGTAGATTTCCATGTAACCAAAGCAAAAGCAAAAAGTCTAAAAAGTAACCCGAACCTATCCAATCCATCTAACCAGCCCAGTGGAAGAGACATCATTGGTATGTGAAATGTGTATGTGAACATGACAGTGGGAGAAAAATGAAAAACCCAGTCTAAAGAGTCCAAAAAAAGGAAACAATAAAACCAAAACAAAATCAGTCGACTCGCTGATGGCGATTTTTTGTGGCCCAGGAGCGACGATGGATATCAGTAGTCCAAATCCGTAAGCCGTAACATGCAAAAGAAATGTCTAACATCGATCAAGATGTGAACAAAATGGATGAGAAAAAGTGGTGTGGAGAGAAAGAAAAAAGCAAGCGCCGATGTTAATGCGTTTACTCGACAGCAGAGGCACCGTCGCCGTGGAGGACGGGGTTGACCTTGGGGTTCCACTTGAACTTGAAGTCCTGGCCGAGTTCCTTGCGGACGGCAGACTTGACGGCCTCCAGGACATTGGGGAAGACACCGAAGTTGGCCGGGTTGTTGTCGTCGTTGTCCTTGCCCTGGAAGACACCGGTGCGCACCAGACAGGTGTTCCAGCCGTGCATGTTACCACCGCAGATGTCGGAGGCCGGGTTGTCACCGACCATGTAGATGTTCTCGGGCAGACGGTTCTCGTTGTGGATCTGCTCCATCCAGGCCTTCATGACCTCATCGGCGTAGGTGTAGGTGGCGCGCTCGGGCTTGCCGTAGACGACACGCTCCAGGTCGACACCGGTGAGGGCCTTGTACTGAGCCTCAATGGAGATACGGAAGAGACCCTGGGTCAGACGGGGGGGACCCTTGTGGTCGGTAGGGAAGACCAGGTCACCCTGGGAGAAGTAGACCGGGATGCGGGAAGCAACGGGGTCCTTGGCGCGGGTCAGCAGCTTTCCGTCCTCAGCCAGGAGGAGGTCCATGATGAGCTGCATGTCAGTGGCGTAGTCGCGGGAGTCGGCGAACACCAGGATAGCGTCGAACTTGATCTTGGAGAAGTCGCGGGGCTTGGCCTCGAGACGGTCCTCCTCGTGGAAGCAGCCCCAGGGGGAGATGGTGGGGTCCCAGGCGAGAACATCCTTGGGGTGGATGACATTCTTGAAGCCGTAGTTCTCAGCGACCTTGCGGATCTTCTGCTTCTCACCACCGCAGACCAGGACGGTCTCGTAGTACTCGGCCAACGCCTGCATTGGGGTGTGAGACTGGATGAACTGGTCGGTGGAGATGGGGCAGCCAAGGACCTCGGTGAGCTGGGCACAGCGCTCGTCCTCGGTCTTACCACCACCGTTGGTCAGGAGAATGTAGGGGATCTTGATGCCCAGCTCGTTGTCACCGTTGAGCATGGCGAGGGCCTCCTTGGCCTCCGGAATGGCCTCGTTACCGTGGGCCAGGACACCATCGATATCGAAAGCGAAGGCCATGTTCTTGGCGGCAGCGACCTTCTCCTTGGACATGTCCTGGACCTGAGAGGCCAGGATGTCGCGGGAAACATCCGCAGTGACCACCGAGGAAAGACGAGAGACACGGGGAGATCTGGGGATGGGCAGGGAAGTGCCAAAGGAGTTGCGGGAGCCACGACGGTCCCGGGAGGAGGGAGCAAAGCTCAGGTTGTGCATGTACTGAGCAGCATCGCTGATGGAGCTGCGAGTAGCGGGAATCTCGACAGTGTTGCCAGCATCGTTGGGGATGGGCAGAGAGCCAGCAGCGCTACCACGAGCATCGCGGGGGGAGCGGGCACCCGGAGCAGGGGCAGCGTCCACGGCGAAGTCAGCGTCGTCGAAGCGAGGCATGATGAATTGCTGAAGGAATTGAGGTTGTAGAGGGGTTCAATTGACACAAGACCAAAAGGTCAGGAGAGTTAAAAGAATATATAGGAGGGGTAGGAAGATGGATGATAAGATAGGAAGGATAAGGATGATATCACTCGGAGACGAAAACAGGAAGACAACCAATGGGCGTCACCTGCAAGCAATTGTCACCGGAGGAAGATGGAAGAGGAGGATGATGTGAAAGAGAAGGATGAAGATGGAAAAGAAAGAGAAGGGAGGCGAAGAGGATCATATATAACAAGCTTTCTTCAGCAGAACTACAGTGGCGGTAAGGTCCCAGCGGACGAGGGGAGAAGGCGTACCACCGACAAGGAGGGTGTTTATCCTGGGTGCAGCCATACGGAGACAGCGCTGCGGCCAAATCAGCCATCCGGATCCACCGACTGGGTTGGGAGGGGCGTATCATCATCCCTAGGAATTCTCGTCGTCATTATTTACGGGGAGATGATTAGCTGCGACATTTCGTAGTTTCGCTGGAGGGAGAGCGGAGCCAACAATGGCAGCTTGATGGATGGATGTAGTTTAGTCTAGTAAGTAACTGGTCTTACAAAAAAGAAAGTCCACTACTTTTTTTTTTTCTGGGCAGGTTGTAGGTGGAGCTAGCTCTGTTGTAATCTTTCAAGACTGTGACCGCTGGACCCTGGCTGGTGGTAATTTATGACATACTCAATACTACGACATACACACAGCACACACACACACACATAACAAATGCCAATGCCAATTACCATGCAGGTATTCAAGTTACTACTCCTTTCGGAACAGTTTTCTGAGGCATTAAACAGACACACACACACACACCACAAAAAAGTCCCACTCTTCACACCACTTTCACTGCCGGCGCAGCATCGTGGCTGCAGATGGCAGCCTGAACTTGCCCACCGCGGCGGGGCGGGAGGGCTACTGGAGAGTGGCATCACCGGATTCTGTGAGACATTATTGGCCAGGCTGGAAATTTGTTCGCAGGACGAACCACTCAAGAAGGAAGAAGCTGCTGCAAGTTGAGTGGACAGGAGGGGGTGCCAGCGGGACTGTGTGGGACAATGATTGGTCGCTACGGGCATTCCACTCACGAACGAGCCACAGATCGCTGGAGCCGATGACGATCGAGCGGGCGACGGCGGGTCAAACGCTCGCGCCGTTTCGAAACCAATACATCCAATGATGTCATGGGCTCCATGTCTCTCGTTTTTTTGGTAATTGCAATTTCCCCGTCTGCATTGGGAAATGAGAAATTCAAACTGAATTAATGGGATCCAGAAAAAAAAAGTGGGTTTGCTTTCCTCAGGCCAAAAACCAAAACGTGTCCATGCCGTCATGGGAAGCTTCACAGGGAAATTTGTCCAGGAGCTCCCCCAAGCTCGAGCTTGGAAAAGAAAATTATCGAACACCAAGGTCAAGCATGGATGGTTCCTTTCCAAGATAGCTTGGTGAAGTAAAAAGTACAAGTATACATACCGCAAATCGAAAAGTCAAAGAAAATGACCCTGCATAATATAATTAGTAGCAGCAATAGCATCATACCCCTCATCAACACACCCCCCTCCACCCCACTTGCTGTTCTTGCCTGTAAAGTTGCCTTCTTCTCAACGAGAGCCCCTCCTCGCCCATACCACCAAGTGACTTCTTCCCCTCCCACCCGCTATTTGTACTCATCCCTCGGCTTCTCTACCTCTTCTTCCTCTTCAACTATACCAAATATACCCAATTCCTTCTTTTCACCATCACTTCGATACCCTTACACAACCATGTCTTCCGGACAGTCCTTCACTCTTAGCAACGGCGTCAAGATCCCCGGCGTCGGTTTCGGTACCTTCGCCAACGAGGGTGCCACTGGTGAGACCTACAAGGCTGTCACCTGCGCTCTCAACACCGGATACCGTCACCTCGACTGTGCCTGGTACTACCTGAACGAGGGTGAGGTTGGTGATGCCGTCAAGGACTTCCTCGCTGCCAACCCCTCCGTCAAGCGTTCGGACATCTTCATCTGCACCAAGGTCTGGAACCACCTCCACCGCCCTGAGGATGTGCAGTGGTCCGTCGAGAGCTCCCTCAAGAAGCTCAAGGTCGACTACATTGACCTCTGCCTCGTCCACTGGCCCATTGCTGCCGAGAAGGAGTCTCAGGAGAAGCCCAAGATTGGCCCTGATGGAAAGGTATGTCCTTTACCCCATAATTCTAGGATCAGAACAGATCTGATTTGATTCTCCTATAGTACGTGATCCTCAAGGATCTCACTGAGAACCCCGAGCCCACCTGGAGGGCTATGGAGAAGATCTACAAGGAGGGCAAGGCCAAGGCGATCGGTGTCTCCAACTGGACCATCGAGGGTCTGGAGAAGCTCCTCAAGTTCGCCGAGGTCAAGCCTCACGTCAACCAGATCGAGATCCACCCCTTCCTGCCCAACCAGGAGCTCGTTGACTACTGCTTCAAGCACGACATCCTGCCCGAGGCCTACTCTCCCCTGGGCTCTCAGAACCAGGTCCCCACGACGGGCGAGAAGGTCAGCGAGAACCAGACGCTGAACGACATCGCCAAGAAGGGCGGCTACACTCTTGCGCAGGTGCTTATCGCCTGGGGTCTGCGTCGTGGCTACGTTGTGCTCCCCAAGAGCTCCAACCCCGCCCGTATCGAATCCAACTTCAAGAGCATCCAGCTCACGGATGAGGAGTACGAGGCCGTCAACAAGGTGGCCGAGGGCCGTCACTTCCGCTTCGTCAACATGAAGGACACCTTTGGCTACGACGTGTGGCCCGAGGAGACCGCCAAGAACCTGTCCGCTTAGATGATGATAGAGAGCGATTTTTGATTTATGCAGGCCATAAACCAGTAAAATTGGACCGAATGAGCTTATGAGTGGATGGACGAATTGAGATGAAATGTGTATCTAGCAATCAAAGCAAAACAGATTACACCCCAATACAATACGTATAGAAAGCAATCCATGTATTTCACTTTCATTCCCCTTTTCCCCCTATAATGATACAAAATAGACGAAACAAAAAAAAAGGGCCATCATAAAAAATAATAATTTAATAATAGGAAACCACCTATCCGCCAATCCCAGCCATCAAATTGTCGCTCCCACCAACAGTTCGCAAATGAAACCTCAACCCATTCATGCATGCATGCATGTGCTTGCCAGCCGAATCACAGTTAGCTAACCTAAGTGGCTTGATGGAGACGAGACGGGAGAACGGGACTAATCCTAGTAAGTTAGGTTACTTACTCGGAGTGTCGGAGGACTGTCCTCCATGCGTTGACGGGGCTAGTGCGCAATGACGTCAGAGCAATCCCTCCCATTCCTCCCTTTAACATCCAACAACACAAAATATCTAAGACACTACTACGAAACAATGAAGATAGCAATCTGAAAGAAGAAAAAAAATAATAAGAATATTATGTGGCAAAACTTTCATAACGGGCAGATCTAGAACCTTCATCGACCACACCACTACATATTTCTTTACATATATACTAACTAATCCTTGTATTAATTCCTTTATTGCATGGCAATGGCTTTTCATCATATCATGATGTATGTATGTATGTATCAAGCGTACCTGGAACCAAAACAATTAACACAAAGGAGAGGGGGGGACCGGTACTACTCTAACCGAAGCAGGCTAGTCATGGGCTCGTGTCGGAGAATCTCGGAATATAGGTAGTACCCGGGTTCCTCCTCGGTGGGCAAATGTGGAAGAAGCCCTAAAACACCGAATGGCTGAATTGGGTAAGGGGGCTTGCGTGTTAGTAGTTAGTACTGTTTGGGGGAGTGGGGATGGGGTTGTGATGGTGCCCTAGCCCTAGTAGTACTTGGTATTTAATTATTTTATCTGGTTGATGTGATACTACTACGGAGTAAGTAGTAGTACGTAGAGAGGGGTAAAACCCCCAGCACTTACTAGGATTTGTCCAGTCGGAATAGAGGATTGATGGAGTGATGGATACTATGTACGGAGTACATTTATCGGGATTGAATGTGATACGGTGGATTGGATGGTATACCAGGAGAACTCCGTACTATCTGCGTGTATATTTGAGGGATTATTTATGTTGGATGGATGGGATGGATAATGGTCCACTTGGTATGTTTCTGAATACGGAGTATAACCATCCATCCATCCATCCATCTATTTATCTTCGCTACCTACTTACTTATCTAGTCGGTTGGAAGATATCATTTGTCTAGAGGAGTAATAGAGGAGTAGCAGTAGTATCGACCATATATACCGGTTATGGTTGGTTGGTTGGTACTGGTGCCTGGATCCAACCAGGATCAATCAATCAATCACTCAATCAATCAGACAAACATATCTGAAATGCGGATCCATTAATCCTACCACATACTTAAACCAAAGTACTTAGTACTTACTAAACTACAAAACATCCAAGTAACTACGTATCTTAGTAACTCCATCGTAGTATTCCGAGTCTACCCGCGATATGCGCCCTGAAATAGGGAACTTCAGCGAAAAGCTAATTGCATCCTGGGCTGAACTTTGTTAGTTGTTAGTTTGTATTTGTTCTTTTTTGGCTTTGGATCTGCGTGGGATTTGCGCTTCGTTAGTTCTTAGTACTAGCTTTGGTATATATGGGAGTGGAAGTAAAAGTAGACTATGTACATATTTAGTAGGTGGGATGGGGGATAAGATGTGGGGTAATTTTTTGAGATTTGAGGGATTAATGGGAGAGGGAGGGAGAGGAATTGGGGTACGTAGTTAGTGTGGTTTAATTGGAGATGTGGTGATTGAGGGGAGGTATTGTGTACTACTTCAGTTAGATTGTAGTAGTAGTGTGATGGGTGATCGTCGACATGTGTTTACTGTGCCAAAGATTATTGAACTTGCAGTTGATTATGATGATGATGGTAGTCAAAGCTCAGTATATATTTCGAATGAGGGTGTGGTTGTATATTATCTCCGCACTAGTAGTATGATCGCAACGGCTAAGGGAATAAGTATCTTCCATTAGGCTAGGATGAAATGTATCGCCCTACTTTACCATCCCGATTAGTTCGAATACTGATTAGATTGCACGAGGTATCTACAACCTCTCTCAATGTATATTGTAATTGTAGTCCATGCGGATATGATAGTATATCTTCGTTACACTTTCCTATAGCTTACTAGTACTACTACTTAGGACTAACTGGTAGTAAGTAATGACCCTCTACCTACAACCACTCTCTAGCCCCTACTACTATTACGGAGTGTATCTAGTACGCAGTGCTAGTACTACCCTCACAACAACAAAATATATATCAACACCACATCCAGAATAGTACTAACTCACCGGCACCACCCTCCATCAACATCAATATTCCCACAGCACCAAGCTGCAACCCAGCTACTAACTGTATATGTACAATGCAGGGCGGGAAACCTTATCCCCCAACGCAGACGTTATATCATCGTGCAGAGACATGCAGATATCCATCATGTATGAGGAAATATAAGGTGTGTGTGGGTGTGAGTAGTCTATAGCTTGGATACATATCCATGGATTACCAGGGAACTGCACCTCCGCGGTGCATACTATCAGCTGTAAGAATGTGAGGGTGCTGTGCAGTGTAGATCTGAATGTGATGGTGGAACAGCAAGGCTGAGTGAGGTCCATGTGTTACATTTCTTGCTTGGAGGTTGTATCAGAAATATACAGGATAATTACCTACTACTGTTACCTATCCTGCTATTGTATGAGAGTAAACGATTATACTCATATTAACGTAGTAATTCGATTCTGCAACTGCCATCAGACCAAACGCCTTCCCTATCGGTTCCCCCGTATGTACACTATCCCGAAACGCCAAATAAACGAGAAAGCAAACGAGGATATCAACATTATCATATTCACGCGCGCGGACGCATCTTCCGAGGCACTGGCGTCGACCCAGCGTTGATCTTCAGCAGGTTGGTCTTCGCGCTACTGCTGCGGAGTGATGTCTTGATGCTGTCGCTTGCAGGCTTCGACGGCGTCGCCGGGACCCGCCTCGGCGACTTGGGGGTTAGCTTCTTGCGCTGCTCGGCCGTGCTCGCGCTGTTGTCGCTGCTGGGCGACGACGGAGAGGACAGGGAAACATTGCTGACGGCTGTTGCAGCCGTCGAGTCGGCTTTGGGTGCTCCGGGACCCAGCCGGCGCACGCGCCGCGTCCGAGGCGTTGCAGTAGCGGGTGCAGTAGCCGCTGCATCGGCGCGATCCTCCCCACCACTCTTCTGCGCCACTTTAGACCGCGTTGTTCGGCTACTGGCTGCCTTTCTTTTCTCGGGGCTTTTGCCCTTGCTTCCGCGGCTCGCAACGTCATGCTCGTCGCCCTTTGCTGCTTCTGACCCGTCGTCGAACTGCACCAGTTCCTCGTCGTTCCACGACACATGCTTCTTTGCCGTTTTGTGTGGTCGCTCCGAGATGTCTCCCGTCGTCTCGCTATCTGTGCAAGGGGCGGTGTCGGCCTTCTTCCCAGATGCTGGCGACTTGCGTGTGAGACCCTGCAAAACGAACTTCGGTGCCTGTGCATTGCCCTTATTCAGTCGCGTGTTTCGCCGCGTCGTAAGGGCCAGCTCCTGGGCCTCGGTGCGCTGCAAGAAGACGAATTCTGTGCCCTTGGCACGGCGGAGTGACAGTGTGTTGCGTACTGCAGCCGCAGCAGTAATGGTCGTCAACAGGTTGGAAGAGCGAACGGTGCGAGGTCGAGTGCTGCGTCGAGGACTAGATGGCTGCGGACTGGTCTCATCTTTCTCCTTTGTAGGCGACAGCTGAGGCTTCTGCGGTGAGGGCGAGTTGGTATCAAGGTCCTCCAACGCGCGGCGCGCCGGTGTGGGAGACGCAACAATAACCGGCACCTCCGGTTCAGGCTCAGTCTTTTCGGTCTCCTGCTCCTGCTCCTGAGCGACCATAGCGGCTTTGGCCTCGCGCTTAGCTTTGGCCTTGGACAAGAAGTTGTTGAGCAACTCAGTATCTTCTCCGTCCAATGAGCTTCGGAGTGCCGACCGAACGAGCGTTGACTCCTGCGCACTCGTTAATTCCTGCACAGGTGCAGGGACCGTAGCCGCGGCCGGATCCTCTAAGGTTTCTACGTCGACAGGCACAGTCGGCTCTTCGTCGGTGTGCTCTTCACCGATCATCGTAGAAACCGTGTCTTCATCATGGCCATCATCCTGCGGAGTCGTAGGTTCGTCTTCAATTGCGTCGGACAGATGCACAGTCGGCTGTTCGACGTCCTCGCGGGTTTTTAAGTCTGGAGTGCCGAACACCATGCCACCAACCACTAGCGGCGACAGGCCATGTAGCGAGCGGCTATAGGCTGCGTCGGACGCCAATTTAGTGGGGGTCTCCGGGATCAGACTGGGGGATTCGTCCATATCGGCAGGGTTCTCCGCGAGCTCTTCCTCCAACGTCGACGTGGGCACTTCCTGGTCGTCCTTCACATCGTCACACGACTCTTCTGGTTGTAGGCTGTCGTTTTCAACCGGCTCATCGGGGATGTCGACAAAGTCACTGTAGATTAGGGGAAGTTTGCCTGGGGTCGTTAGTCCATCCGATTTAATAATCTCTTATTGCACCAGGAGGATAAACTCACGTCGCCGTCCATTAACCTCGGACTCCCACTGTGTTTCCAAGAACGAGCGCCCGCGCACACTATCCTCCAAGGTGTCCGCTTCCAGAGCGAAACACCTGCGCTTGACACCGCGGCGGAGGCCGGGGTTCCGTGAAGTGTTGATCTCCAAATGTAGGTCGTCGTCGACGGTATGACGCTCTGCCGCAATCAATTGCTGCAGAGCTTTCATGCTGTTAAACGAAGTGCGAAAGCGCTTCCAGACCTTACGCGACTTGCCGCGGGCGCGGAATGCGGTTGATGGTTTGCGTTCCCAGGGACGGGGGACGGCTCTGGTAGCTTTGACAGGCGTAAATCTGAATCGGTCCTCCTGAGAGAAGGTGGTTCGTAGATGTGGAGGGCTGCAGAGAGAGTAAGATGTTAGTGAGGGGAAAACAAGGCGTCGATCACGGCTCAATGATGTTTATCGGAGAACTGTCGATGGTGGGAGAAAAGGGGGGCCGCAACATGGCGGTGGCGCAACAGATCTCCCACATTGAGTTCCAAACAGACAGCGGACATTTAGGTCGCCCAAAGAGAAGGATGGACTCACCATGCCTGGAATGTGTCGGAAGGACAGACGAAGTCCGCCATCTTCATGGTGAATCCGCGGCGGAATGTGTGTTTCGGCGCTGACGTCAAGCGAGATCGGGAAGGAGGGACTTGAAGCCGGTAGATGGTGAATTTGAAGAATATAACGAGATAATTTACCGGGCTTCGCTGAGATAAAAGGATGATACTGAATAGCGATACTGAGTAACACGGGAATATCCCAACGCGAGCAGGATGATGGAGGAGAGTGAAGTGGATTTGCTGTTGTTGGTCCGGCCGCCGTTTGTTCCCGTTGCCCTGCCAACCATCAGAGTTGAAGGGAGGATTACCCTCATCTCCGCTATCTGCAGACTACCATCATCTTATTTGAGCCTTCGGAACACTAATGATTGGCTAGCATATTAGACTCCAAACACTTGATTCTACTTTAATGATACTTAGCTCAGCTACCCATATATCGAAGTCTAATATATCCAGGGCAGGATTCTCCACCGGACTGCCCGCCGATACTTCTCCCAGTCTTCGCCATACTTTGCCGCACACATAGCATCGTCTCTACGTTCCCGGTGCATCAACAAGATTGCAAAGTACAGCACGTAGAAATAGGTGAAGATTATTCCCCAGCCTTGGGCTTCGCCTTGAACGACCTTGCGCCCGTCTATCATCTGGAAGCTCTGAGAGGCCGCCACAATGCTCCCTGCCGGGTAGATGAGATACCCTGCCATGCCCGTGGGCAGACTGAAGGGCAATGCTTGTAGCCAATCCCCAAAGTAGTTGATGTGGCGTGACATTCCCCACCATCCAGCTGTGAGTAGTCTAGTTCCCCGCTTGGTTTGAATGTACGACAGGCCTGCCACACTCGGATCGTTGGGGTGCGTGCGGAACTTGTGCTTCTGATCGTTGGCGGCCCGGAAAATATACAGTCCCAGGGCAAAGACGGCGCTCACAGCTGCGATGTTCAACCACCCCAGCTGCAGCGGATAGACAGACAAATAACGACATTGTGTTGAATATAGGAAGGGCACCCAGACGAGATCGCCAAAGGAGAGCATAAACCCCATGCCATCAGTGGTGATATCCATCATAGTCAGAAGCCCTAACTCATTATAATGGCTGTTGAGCACGTAGAACCCCTGAAAGAAGGTGATTAATAGAATGCTGTCGGAGACATAGCCAAAATTGCGATATTGCTTGGCGACAAAGGCAAGATCAAGCAGTATCCAACCAGTCAAGCCAGGATACATCTCGCACCAAGTCTTAATGTCGATCTCCCCAAAGAGTGGAAGAGTGACGCGGGGGTTCAACTCCCGGCCAATGTAGAAATCGTAGATGATATTTCCTGTCCTCCCACCGGCCGCTAGTTCGCGAAGATCCTCATTGGGGTAATTGGTGTCCACGCTGAAGCTGCTGATATAGAGGTAGGTGGCGAGGGTAAATGATATCAACACATTGGCCGTCAAGATTTGTAGATAGTGATCCACGATATACGTCCACACGGGAAATTCGGCGCCTTGCAAGTATGTGCCGATTGCGCAAGCAGCGAAAACAGCAATGCTGGTCGAGAATGCTGTTAAATTGTCAGCGCAGTTCAACCGAAGCACATGACAGCCTGGGACATGGATGTATATAATTACCATTCATGCGGTACTCGAGGGGACGACCGTGATGGACCAGTTTAGTGCCATGAACCTTCTGCGCCGGGAGAAGTCTCCAGAGGAGTAAAACAATGACATAGTATGCCAGCACTGCAACGGTCACTTTCCAGTCGAAGAGTGCGCAAATTCCACCTTCAGGCCACCCGGTCTCCGCAGCCCATTTCTCCCAAGTGAAAGTGCGAGGGCTCAACAGCGAAGGTACAGGACAGCCCGACACATCATTACAGCCGAAGGCAAAGAAAGTCAGGAGTAGAGGTAGGCCAATGGTGATGGCAGTGGCTCCTAGGCTACCGGTAATTCGTCAATATATCAAGGCCAAAAGGTCCGGGGTTAGGCTTGTGCTTACGGTCCACCAAACTCGTACTCAACCACCGTAGAGGAAGCCATCACAACAAGTAATATATCGCCAGAAAGGCGTAATTGGGCCGCTAAACAAATCAAAGTGGTTGAATATTTTATTTCTAATCTAAAGACCTGAAGGTCTCTTTGAGTCTTTATAGTCTCACAGAGTACAGGGCAGGCGACAACTAAATTCCCCTTTGGGACTAGCGGCACCGGGTCGGGAACGCAGCGAGCAGCGTGATATCATCTTGGCAACCGGCAGTCCATCCATCTTCCGGCCGATTACAGAAAGAATTCAGACAAGTGGTCCACAACCATGGCGGAGTATTGGAAATCAGCGGTAGGCAGAAGCTTTCCCATCTCCCGTGTCTCAGCACTGACTTCGACATAGCCCAAGTTTTGGTGCAAGCAATGCAAGATCTTCATTCGCGATACCGCCTTCGAAAAGTCTCAACATGAGGCTACGGCCAAACATCAGGGTAATCTGAAGCGCTTCCTTCGCGACATCCATCGGAACAATGAACAACAACAGCGCGAAGCACAAAGAGCGAAGAATGAGGTTGAGCGACTGCGCCAGACCGTGGCCGGACCTGCGGGTGGGAAAGACGGGGATGCTGCGCCCTGGAAACGTGCGCCCGCACCGGCGCCCAAACCTCAGGAGCGACCTGTTTCTTTGGAAGAAAGAAAACGACAAATGGCACAGCTAGCAGAGATGGGTATTGCTATTCCGGAAGAATACCGCAGTGAGATGGCTTTGGCCGGAGAGTGGCAAACGCTGTCGGAGAAAGTTGTACAACCTTCGGAGGAATCAAAGGCCAGCCAGTCATTAGGAGTACGCAAACGAAAGCATGAAGAGCGTGACGAGGAGGAGGAAGAGGCAAAACAAGAAGCTGAACGATTCGTCAGTAAGGGCTGGGGCTCCCGGACCCGAGTCTATCCCGGCGCCCAAGAGGACACTGATCTTGATGCTCTTTTGGAGTCTACGAAAGATATCAAAAAGGGTAAACCTTCAACTCCTGCTGAGTCGGCGCCGGAGTCAGAGCCTGAGAATGCACCGGAAACCGTTAAGGGCCAGTTCGTGCCGGTCAAGTCAGAAGGGGATGCAGCAGCTCCTGAGACCGGTGAGCCGTCTCAGGTCAAGCAGGAGAGTGAGACTGCTCCCTCGGCTCCTGTGACAAAAGAGGAGCCGGAAGACGCTCCAGCTACGGGGGTCGTTTTCAAGAAGCGCAAGGCCAAGGTCATGAGAAAGTAGGCCAGCATTTTACGAAATTACGTGGAGCTGTTACCTGTCGGCGGTTCTCATAATTACTCCACTGCAATATTTTCTGACGATGCATTATCGTCAGCGAAATCAAACTTGTTGATCGCATCTGCCAGGCGGCTGGGGTCTAGCAAACATTGCTGAAAAAGGACGGATGGTAATGCGATTACGATGACAAGTCTTGATCGTGTTTAAGGAATCCGAAGCCGAGCAGCATACAGATGACTTAATCTGGCATCTACAGAATTACAAGTGTGGAACCTGAAGCTGAATATCAAGAACGGCTGGTCCGAGTTGTGCACAGACCGGTGACAGATGCTGGACTGCTTCCATGGGGATACATGCAGCCATCAACCAAGCTGGTCTACAAGAATGATATGGTATCGACATCATACAAAGAGAGACGACACTGTCAGATAGACACAAGTAGAACGGCTGGTTCATATATCATAGGGAACGTATTTCAAGACCAGCTGAGGTTTAGCCAAGGCTTCTAGCTGGGATGATGATGAAGATAGTTGAGACTATAAGGTCATATAGTGTTCCATCAATATTATCAATTAGTATAACCTCACACAGCTTCTAAATTGAATCTAAATGAGTGTTGTTGTTAATAGACGCGTGCAGCCATTCATGGTTGTCGGGTTGAGTTGCCACTGGCTGGTTCCCTTTTTTTTTTCTCTGCCGATGGAAATTTGGCGCAAAACTGGCAAGCGTTGGCAAAAGTCCGGGGGAGAAAAAGAGAGTCTTCAAGCGGGCCCGAAGCTCTTCTCTCTTTCTTTCTCTTTTGCGGGCGCAACAACAATTTTAATCGCAATCCCAGCTCCAACCCCCACCCCTAATGCGGAGACTGTCTGGTGCCGAATTGCGTGTTTTGGTGCTATAGTCATTCGGCTCGCTTCTTTTCGCTTATCTGGCCCAGTGCATGGTAAGTTAACGAGAGCTTCTTTCCCATTTGCCTGCCCCGATCTGCCTGCCTCCCGAAACGCGCCCGCCCAACTCCGCTGCCTTCCCTTCTCCAGTCGGGGATTTGGCCGCTCGCACAAGAGTCGACGCTCGCAGAAAAGAAAAGAAGGTCCGGGATGGCCCGTTGGATGTTACGAGATGGCAAACGTCTGTGGTGGTTGCGCCGTTGAAGTGCCACGTTTGGGCGACATGGAGGGAATTCCCTGACGGTCGCATTCAACGTCACCTGGGTTCCGATACCAGCACTGCCATCGGATCTGCAAATTTTCGAGAAAGACCATCCTGCAGACTGCTCCGTTGATTTTCTGGCCATCGACTCGAGAGTCGTGGCCTATGATAGTCCTCCGATGCGCGGTCAAGCCGTGGAGCATCAACAGCAGCTCACTCCGTCGCGACCATGCGCAAACCCAGACGCCGTAACCCGTTGACCGTCCCTTACATTCACAGCCAGATAACACTTCGGGCGGCAGTTGCGGTGCTTTTGAGGGTGCATGGAATTTCTGGGCCGAGGTCTGGTCACTAACACGCCTGTCTTCCAGACTAGAGAAAATAGCACCTCGCGATCGTTGCACCCCTGCAAGTTCTTTTAGCCGCAGAGTTCTACGTGTCCTCGACAAGTCCTCATCTCACTGTCGGTTTGATCCTATTCAACATTCATTTATCCAGTGTTCTCGAACTCCCAAGTGAATATACTTCACCATTGAGATGGCCGACACTACAGAGCCGACGAACACGTCGGGCGAGCCGCCTAACCCGGCTCCTGAATCGACCGAATTACCACCTGTTGAGACCACGCAGTCGACAACAGACCATTCCCTTCCACCGATAGACACATCTCTGCCTCCGATCGATTCTACTATGCCGGCAATGGACGATCACTTACCAAACCTTGATCATTCGCTGCCCCCGATCGATGCGACAATACCCTCCTTGCCGCCCATTGACACCTCGCTGCCACCACTGGACACCACACTGCCGGCTGCAGATGGGCATTTGCCGGGCGGAGAGCCTGACTTTTCCTTTCCTGACACCAAGTCGTTGACCAACGAAGGTCATATGTCGGAGCCTACGCATTCAGGGCCAGGAACGTCCAGCTTTGATTTTACCGAGCAATCCGGGCAGTCATCTACGCCTGCTCCTACGTATCAGTCTCCTGTGAATGGCACCCCGCTGCAACAGCCAGCCCAGCAGCAGTCGCAACCACTGCAGCAACAACATCAGCCGCAGCCGGGGCAGCCGGGGCAGCAGCAGCAGACGACGCCGGGTCAGACCCCCCAACCGCAGCAGCCATATCATCAGCAATATGCGCAGCCACCGCAGCATTCACATTCACCCTCCCATCAGTCTACGCCTGCGCCACAGCATACACCGTCGCAGCAGCCGCAGCAATATACGCCGGGGCAGCCACAGCCGCATCAGTATCAGCAGCAGCAACAGCAGCCGCAACAAGGAACGGACATGTACCACAACCACCAGAGCCATTCCCCCTCAATGAATGCGCCTTCGATGCAGCCCATGGATCATCATGCCATTTCGGGACAATCGTCGCAGATCCCCCAGGCACCTATTGGCTCACCGATGCCATCCAATATGCCTCCGATGCCGTCAGTGGGCCAGTACATGACCGGATACCCTACCAATGTCGGGCAAATGGGCATGAATGCAAACGCGCAGATGCGCTATCAGCTACCGGGAGATCCCAACAAGCTGTTGTCGGGCGGACGGCATAAGAAGGAGGTGAAACGTCGGACGAAGACAGGGTGTCTCACCTGTCGTAAGCGAAGAATCAAGGTACGTACCAGCAAAATATGACAGAAAGAAATTCGACCCCTCAGCAATAATTGCGACGGGATTGGAGGAAGAGAAAGGGGGATGCAGTTGAGTTTAGAAAGGCACAGAGAGGCGGGGAGAGGAAGGAATGGCGGAGGGGCGGGCCTTTCGCTTGTGCAGCAGCAACCCCGCCGGTCGCTTGTTGTTGTTTGCGCCCACTCGCCTATCGCTGTGCTCCCCGCCTGCCTGCGCTGCCCTTTTTTCGCTGCCATCCCTCAACCACCTTCCTCGTGCTTATTCTTTTGTTTTATTGTTTCCCAAGCTCTAGCAGACCACTCTCTGCTCGGCTGAGTTTTGCCACTGACCGTTATTTTTAGTGTGACGAAGGGCATCCTGTCTGCCGCAACTGTGTCAAGAGCAAGCGTGAATGCTTAGGTTACGACCCCGTGTTTAAGCAGCAACCCACGCCTTCCGCCATTCAGCCTGCTCCCAATCCTCATCCTTCCTTGGTGGTCAATCCTCAGGATCCCTCCACTTCATATCCCGCTGCGCCTCCGGGTTACATGCCAGCTGCCTCCCAACCGTTTGCCCCGTCTGAGTCGCCTGCCCCGCCGAGTGAACGCTACGATTACGGCACTGCAATTGACCCATCGCTGGACGTGAATAACAATAACAACATGGCCAGCATTCAGCACGCCGTGGAGGGAGGTCTGCAGCCGACGGTCAATCCCGCCATGACAAGCACCAGCGCTACCCCGTCAGAGCCGACCAACGTCAGATGTAAGCTTCATCCAAGAGTGTTTTGCGGTACGTCTTTTAACTGTGAGCAGTAAAACAAGTTCAGATCAGCGACCTTCTCGCGCTACGCGGCATTCCGCCTCCTCCCCCTCACCCGATCACCTCCCTCCCGCCAAACCGTCTGGAAGAAATTCAGGCAGTCTTCCTGGCGACATACGCCCCCGCCATTGACAAGTTCTTCGAGACTCGGTGGTTCCAGGAGAAGGCATTGACACATCTTTTGGCCAACGCGCAGCTCATGGCTGAATACTCTGCGTTGATCGATGCGTTTAATGATCCCAACCTGGGCGATCCCAATGTGCTGGCGCGGTTGGA